ATAATTTCAGACAACTAAATTCCTCTTAAAATTTAACTTTTTATTTGAAATACCCACTGCCCATGGGGGTAGATTTTCTTAAAAACCACCAGTACCTTAAAGGGGGCTGCAAAAAATTTGGAGACGGACTTCTTACAAAGGCATGTAGCGTCTGTCAGAGGGGAGACTTATAGGAAGAAACCTTCCATGTGAGGGTGGTGAAGCCCTGGCACAGGGTGCCCAGAGAAGCTGTGGCTGCCCCATTCCTGGCAGTGTTCAAGGCCAGGCTGGATGAGGCTTGGAGCAACCTGCTCTAGTGGAAGGTGCCCCTGCCCATGGCAAGGGGTTGGAGCTGCAAGAGCTCTAAGGCTGCTTCCAACCCAAACCAGCCTGTGATTCTCTTTCCCTACCACGCACGTACTCTTTCATTAGTCAGGCTTTAAGCCTTTACAAGCAAAATACCAGAAAGTGTTACGCTAAAAATCACCAGCCCTGATCTCAGTACTTGGCCCTAGAGCAACAAATGTGGTGTAGTTCTGGGGGAGCAGTGTTTCCTGTTATTGCTGCCCCTGATTGTTTGGTCTTTTCACAGTAAGTGAACTGTCCCCACAGCGTGTCTCTCTCCGAGGTCAGGGCAAACACGGCCTTTGGTGCACTCAGGACCAAAGCTGGTAGATAATTATGCCCTATGTAATGCCGCACACCATCAGGGGGTGAGTAAGGACCTTCCTGATGTACTGAGGACATACCCATACCAAGGTATACCCTCCCCCATGGCACTAGGAGATAAACCAGAACCGGTCAGCTGTGGTCACTGTATCCACGCCGCGGGTAGGTTAAAACGAAATCAAAGCCGTTTTTACATGAAGAGCTCTCCTGCTAACGAGGAACACGGCGGCGGCACCGGGGCTTAACGTGACCGCTCAGTCGGTTTCCGAAACGCGACGGCCAGGACAGGCTCAGCGCCGCTGCACCCCGAGCTCTCCCCTCGCCGGAGCGGGTGCTCGCGGGCTGCCCTCGGCCGCGCCTGCCTCCGCCACCACCGCGCTGCGGCCGGGCCGGGCCGAGCTAACTGCCGCGTGCGCGCCCGGAGCCCCCTCCGCGGGTGGGGGCTGCGATCCGGCCCCGGCGGTTCCCCCCCTTGCCCCGCTCCCGCCCTTACCGACTCGGCGAGCAGGAGCCGCCCCTTGCGGGAGCGCAGCAGCTCCGCCGGCAGCAGCAGCGGGCGCGGCCCGGGCGGCGGCTCGGCGGCCCCCGGCTCCTCCATGGCGGTGAGCGGCGGCCGCGGGGCGCGGACGGGTGCGGGGTGTTTTTTGAAGGAGGGAAGCGGAAATCGTGACCCTGCGGAAACGTGAAAAAAAGTTTCAGCATCCCCAAATCTGGGGGGTGGCGGCCGCGCCGCGCGCACGGGACGTGCCCTGCGACACCCGTTTGACCGTACCCACCCTCCTCACGGCGCTGGGGAGACGCTGAGGGAGTTTTCGGAGCTATCCAGAACGCGAACGTTAAAGCCGAGGGATCAAAACGCCTCGGCAAGGAAGCGTTCGCACGGGCTTAAGCAGCCGTCGGGAGGGAGGCGAGGAGCGCAGCAAGGGGCGGGGGGTAAATCTGTTCCCAACACTGCTTACTGGTACATTAAATATTTCCTTTAAGTTCGCTTAATAAATAAATGTTAAATAATGCACGTAAGCCCATGTGTATGTTCTTTTTATTACAGAAAGACAAGTGTAAAATTAATCTTCATTCAGGTAAAAGTTAACCTTCATACACGTAAGAATGTAATTAAGCTTACAAAACAGGAGAATTTTCTGTGAAGTTTATACTTGTGAACAAAGGTGAACACATGAAAATACAGATTCTTTAAAAAATAACAGTAAACCAGTCATCAGTGGAGAAATCGTTCTTTTACTAAAATGTTACTATTATTTGGCAGGAGCATTCCTTTCTCTTCGTCCACCAAAGCTGATCTTCCAGAAAACAACTGCATCCACAACACAGAGAATAAGCAATATAAACCCAAACACCTATAAAAATAATAATAATGTTAGTTTCCAGATGGAATCTCTTTCACTGTAGTGACTCATCTACCATTCCTCAAAGCAGCAGTAGATACATCTTCCTAACCTGGTTCTGGTATAATTTAAATATATATGCGATTCCAGACAGCTGTAAAGTAACATCTGTATTTAAACCCCATCAGCCTTTCATACAGCAGTTCACAGCCTGGCTTTGCCCAAAGTCTATGTGAAGCCCTGGAGATTGAGTTCTCTTTGAAAACTCTGAGATGCCAGATGGTGCTTTCATCCAAAATGAAAACTTTTCTGTCTCTTCAAGGATGCCTAATTAATGGTATTGGCCTGGAGAAAATACAGCATTTGTAGAAACAAGCCTTTTGGGGAAAAAAAATAGCACTCCTCCCCTCTGAAGCTCTGAATGGGAAACATTCCGAATTGAAAATATACACATATTTTAAAAATACACAGGGAAGATGTCAGATGTTCTCCCCAAACTTTTTTTCCAAGCTACTTGCTCAGTCTCCTGCCTCCAACTTAACTTCACAACTGACAATATAAATTATACCTTAGCACTTATCAGGAAATCTCCTTTCTGCTCAGGATGGCATGGTCAGCAAGAACATCTGTCTTCCCTCTCACCAAGTCTCTTAAGCTGACTTTGAAAAACTCCTGAGGCAAGTTCTGGGTTTCTGACGGTGGTTTGTCACATTTGAGCTCTTCTTGTACTTCAGAAGACTTACGTATTTTCAAAAATGAGGGCCTCCCCCTTTTTGTTTCTTAATTATGTATGTTTTTATTTGAATTAAAAATTACAGTTGCTTATTAAACTGATTTGATCTTAAGTACACAAAAATCTTAGAGTCTGAAAAAAAAAACAAACCCCTTTTCAACTTCCAAGATTTCTCAGTTTGTGTCAGAAAAAAATAATAACACATGTCAGGAGGGAGGTACCAGCATGTCTATTAAAAAAGTTTCCACCCTTTTTTAACAGGAGTGTAGGAATTTCTTCTGAGATAGTGTAACCAAATGGGATAGTCCTAAAAGAGCTACAGGTTCTTCCACTGAGGATTGATGGAAGATTTATTCCATATTGCAAGATATGGAAGCAAGTATCAGTTACTCCAATTAGTTAGACTCTAGGAGTTTTCAGTGTTAGTACTTCTCAATAGCAACTCCCAAGTCTAGTAATATCTTTAAATTATGTCTGATTTGAAGATTATTTTTTTTGGTGAGATTCAATTTAGTGAGATTTAGTGAGATTAAAATTTTTAGTAAGATTGAACATGTCTTCACTTTTGTTTTAGTATGTTCTTCCACAACCATTATTTTCATGGTCTTACCACAACAGAAGGAAACCAAGAGGTTCAAATCCTGTCCACTTTAAGAACTGAAATGCCTTAACAATGTTGCTACTTACTCCTCCTGCCAGTGTCGCCTTGTTGGTCTTGCCTACTACTGCAAACAAGCACACAACGAGGAGGAACAACGCTGCAATCATCGAGTTAAAAATATCCTGAAACAGCCAGCAGAAGCAAAATATTTATTCTGAAATACACACCTGAAGAACATGAACAGCGCCCAGTTTTTTTACAAATTATCAAAAATCGCTGAATTGCTCCAACAGTGGAATTACAGATACCCATGTAAGATCGATAGTGACACCCAGTGGTTTGATGTCAGAAGGAACGTTTGCGATGAAATTTCCTCATTTTACCTTTTTTTTTTTTTCAGTCAAATTTATGCAACTTGGCTACACTTGATGGACTAAAGTAGCAAATAAATATTTCAATTAAAGTGTATGGTTAATTTGTGGAGTGAAAGATGAAAATACAGTATCACAAAGCTAAGCGAATGATGCTAACTGCAAGAGGGACTGCTAGCAGACAGAAGTCAACTGCTGAGAAATCAATGTGAAAGACTCTCTAGGAAAAACTGGATCAACAACAATGGAACTCAGGTTTGCTCCAACTTTATGGCAATGGTGCCTGAGATAGCTGACTACAACCCTCAGAATGAGGCTGAGCGCTGGGGTTGTTCAGAAGGCTCCAGGGAGACCTTAATGTGGCTTCCAGTGCCTAAATGGGACAAGAAATGTGGAGAGGGGCTTTTGACAAGGGCATATAGGGCCAGGACAAGGTGGAATGGCTTTAAACTGACAGCAGGAAGATTCAGATTAGACATTAGGCAGAAGTTCTTCCCTGTGAGGGTGCTGAGGCGCTGACTCCGGTTGTTCAGAGCAGCTGTGGCTGCCCCATCCCTGGCAGCATTCAAGGCCAGGTTGGACACAGGGGCTCGCAGCAACCTTGTCTAGGGGACGGTGTCCCTGCTGCGGCAAGGGCGTTGGAACTAGGGAGAGTTTTAAGGCCCCTTCCAACTGAAAGCGTTCTATGATTCTGTGCACAGGCCACCACCGGGTGGGTGAGATCCCTTCATTTCGGGGCCCGCCAGTACTCACGGCCAGTGGCCAGAACAGCCAGGTCATCTTTTTATCGAGCTTCAGCAAGTACAGGAGGAAGAACAGCGTCGTGATCACCACCTCCATGCCGGCCAGCGACGTGTACATCCCGCCGGACCTGGCGCCCAAGAAGCAGAAGAACATCCCCCACGCCAACAGCTGCGGGCACACAGGAGGACTAACGTGTCTGTGTCTGTGTATGTGTGCGTGTGCTACCGCTGCGCCGATAACCGCCCGCACGCCCGCGCCGTCCCCGCCCTCTCGGGAGCGCAGGACCCCGCGGATAGGCCCGCACGGCCCCTCCGCGCTCCGCTCTGCTCCGCTCCCCTCAGCGCTTACCATGCGGGCGATGTTAATGGAGCCCCGCAGGGAGCGGGGGAAGGCCCTGTCCACCTCCACCAGCGCCATGACTGCCGCGCCCCACAGCACCCGCACCCCTCCGCTGGGGACGGGGATACGGCCAGAGCCGGCTCCGCCCCGGCGCTCCCCTGGCGGCGGAAGTGAGCGCGCACCGGCCGGAAGCGGTTGTGCTGGGGCAGTGCCGGGGCCGGCAAGAGGCATGGGCGATGTGGCGTTTGGGCGCGGCCTGGGCGCGGCCCGGTGCGCTGCGCGGGGCCCGGGCCCGGGCCCGGGGTAGTGGCGCGGCAGGGGCTGCCTGTGTGGGCGGAGCGGCTGCGGGCTCTCCGACCGGCGGCCTGGCGTTGCGCTCCCGGCCCGGCCCGAGCGGCGCTGGCGGCTGTAAGTCCGCGTGCGGGGGGCCGGGCCCGCGGTGGGACCCTGCTAAACAGGGAGGTGCGAGAGCGGCCTGTGAGTGCGGTAGGCGACAGCCTCTCCCCGCACAACGACCCGGGCCATGGCCACCCGAACGACAGCCTGTGGTGGCGGCGGCCGCGGAGGGGATGGAGAGAGGGTTCAGAGCTCAGCTCTCTTTAAATCCGTCAGCAGCGGTGACACGGGTGTGAGGAGCCACAGCATCTCGTAAGAGGGTGGAGCAAGATCCCCCCCTCTACCTTTTTGCAGCCTGTTCAAACCTCTTTCCGGCTTCTTGCGCGTCGTGGCCCTGATAGGCTTTGTGGGCCCTCACTGGCAGTGTTGGGGAGCCAAACCCACCTTTGTAGTCTGTTAAGGTCAGCTTGTGTATGCCTTATATAGGCAGTTTTGGGATGTAAGGCATCTAAATTACATGTGTTGGAGGTGTGTTTGCATTTTCATGCTCGCCCAGTGTTGTAGCCGGGCCTCCGAAGCACTACAGCTGGTATTTCCAAAATTCATTTTTTTTCCTGCCAGTGTAAACTAACTGAGGAGCAGTAAGTGTAAGAGAACTCTGAAGGAGCATAGGCACTCTCCATTTGACTCCTTGTAGTGTTAAGGACAACAGAAAACTTAAGGTAAACCCTTGTCCGTGTATGCTTAATGTGTCAATTGCATGACCCAGTGATTACCCAAACCCTTAAAGATTGGTAATTTGGCAAAAATTTGTATTAAGCAATAGGGAACCTAAAAAGCTCATGGAGGGTCTGACATTAAGAGGCTCAGTATAGCTTTAAGTTACAAAGAGCTTATTCTTATTTGTAACTCCTGTTTATTTCCAATCTAGATAAACACCTGATAAAAGAAGATGGTAGGAAGACAGTTGTGAGTATTTGTTTTACTTGGGGTGTTCAGGTGGTGGGTCTGATGCTGGATCTTAACCTGGCACAAGGCTATGCTTGCTGTGTTCTGTGAACTGCAGTATAGTCATGAGGGATTTGTGTCAGTGCATGCTGTTGTGTAGGGACAGGTGTCGACTGAAAATAGATAATGTACCTTACACATTAAGTTGTCTGTTTAAAGGATGCTGAAATTACAGCTTCAGTTGGCACTTATTTTAAGTTGAACGAAGTTGAACGCAAAGTGTTGCAGTCTCAGAGGCGAGTTGTGGAAGACAGTGTGGGATAGCGGCAGACAGCCGATGATCCTCTGAAGCTCTTTGGGGGCTGGGAAGACCAAATGTTTTTGTATGAAGTAATTAAATTGCATTGTAGGGAAATAGTATGCTTGATGTGGGAATAATAACACATTTTTTAACAATGATACTCTTTTTCATCAGGTATGTGTTGAGGGGAACATTGCGAGTGGAAAAACAACGTGCCTGGATTATTTTGCACAAACTACTAACATTGAGGTAGTGGGTGTGCATTTCATTGTCTTTATGTACATCATTAAGCAGCTGCTTTTCTTGACAAAATTGACAGAAGTGTTTTCCTTTGGTGGGCTAATGGAGCAGTAGACTGTAAGCCAGTGTACAGACTGGTGCCTGCCCTGCAACTACAAAGAGTCAAACTGTAGAAAAGAAATTCAGATCATTGTACTTTAGAGTACAAGATGCCCAGGTATCAGTAAAACCAGTGGATTAGAGGTTGTACCTCTATAAAGTAACAGCAGCCCATGTTTGTTGTTCACATTTGGGTGTGCTTGTTTGCTCTTTCATCTCACAGATATATCATGTAATAAGCAAAGAAGTAATGATGTAAAAATTTGATGTCATGTAATGGAGATCCCAGTAAATGGATGGCTTTTGAAAAATGAAAAATCTAGTTCTGGAGATTTCTTAGACTGGTATGGTATTTGATTTTTTATGCTTAGAGCAAGATTAGGGGAAGGGCAGTTTCCCTGTATTTTAGACAAAATCAAGATCAGACCTTAATGAGGTATTGCTTTTGTGGATATCAGGTAGATATTCCCTGGCATGCCTGGGAACCCACTGATAAAAAGTTATAGGCTTCCTCATAGAAATGCTGGGTTGCCCGATGTTACTTGTTAATTGAACAGGAATGATCCTTACGGGTAAGGATAAACCCAAAACGTAGCAAAGTTTAAATTGCATATAGTGCAACATTTTTTAAAAAGCCAGTGAACTCCCCAGGCTTACCAGCTTCTCTTAGGCCTGGCTCTGCAGTGTTATTGGAGTTTGAACCACATCAGTCTGTTGTGATTTTACCTATTCAAGGTAGAAGCTTTTCTGATCAATTTCATAAAAGTTTTGAGTACATTTTGTTTGTTAGATCACAAAAATAAAATGAGAAGTAGTATGATAGCATTCTCATCCTCTTTGCTGATTTTTCTCTGAGAAATTAATTTGTGAGGAAATGAACCAGGCATTGAAGTGCGTTCAGGACTCAGCTAAGTCATTCCTTCCCTTACATGGGACTGATTTTGAAAAAGTGAAATTACATCCAGGCTCATTAGGTAATTAATCCAGTGTTTTATTTTGGCTGTTTAAAAATGCTAAAAAGAAATTGTATATTGATATTTCTCTATTTTTAAACAGTGTTCATTATTACTTTTTGTATTAGGGGATTCAGTGCTGTTTTCTGAAGAGGAATAACCTTTCTAATACAAGTCCTGAATACTGTGACTTACTGAACGAATATTCATTAAAAATAGTTGTAGGTCTGTAGGGTCAAATTAAGTATTTTGAATCTAAACCATGTTTAATATGGAGTAATTATTTTCAACAAGGTTTTGACAGAACCGGTGGCAAAGTGGAGGAATGTTCGTGGTCATAATATCCTGGTAAGTCACAGGAGTTGTTTCTACAATTATAATTACTGTTCTTTTAGAAAGACATGCATGAGGACTTCTTATTGATCAGTAGAACTGTTAGGAAAGGTGTGGTCGTAAACTCATACAACAGAAGATCTGTTTCAGTGATTAAGATGTGCATCTAATAGAAATATTGCATATAAAATGTGTTTTCATCAAGGACTGGGTCTTTTATTTTGTATGAGCTGAAGAAATTCACAGAAAGGTAAGTCCTGAGTGTGACAGTTGTTTCTGAATCTCATTGTGCCTGTTCCAGAGAAGGGAAGAACGTCACTTGGAAAATGAGAGGTGAATCTGATAGGTTGATACTGTTTGACTGCTGAAGATAAGGAAGATTGAGTCCTGTGAGGTGTCGGGAGCTTCTGATGTCTTGTGGGTGGTCATTGTTTCTTGGAACTGTTCCCCACAGCTATGTCCTTGTGTCACAGCTGTGCTTGGGGACAGCTGTCAGAGCTCTGGATACATCTGCAGATCTGCTTTTGCTGGGGTGGTAGAAGTGGTTTCCAATGTCAGTCTTTGCTGCTTGTGTGGTCATCTCTGTTGCAAAAATTTTATTGCTGGCTGAGATGGGTGTCTGTGCTCAAGCTTATGTGGAATTTGCTGTCAATGCAATTGTGTAGATACACCCTGAACCACACATGCCCAAACATGTATTTGGTACGTAGCATAGGTCCTCCAGAAAAGTAAGTTCTCCCTACTAGAAGCTGCTGATGTTTTACTCTCTTATTATCAGTAAAGGGATGGGGCATGCTTATCTGTGCTTATCACAGCAATCTGCACACTTCAGAATGTTCTCTCATTCTGATCTGGGGTAGGGAGAAAAGGAGGAGGTCAGGTCTATGGACTGAAGCCATGCTCCTGACTTAAAGCTGGTCACCTCAGCAAAACAGACAATGAATGATGCTTTATTTTATTTTGAGTCAGATTTTTTTTCTCTGCTTTGCAGGATAGACTGTTGCTTGTAAATGTATGTGTGTGTGGAATTGCAGTAATCAGAAAGTGGAGGATAAAAGAATTGCTTTGAGGATGATTTGGGAAGAACAGTTGTCTGTGTTAAAAGACACCTTTTCTGAGGCCCAGACCATACTGGAACCACATATACATTTCTGGATGGCCTTGGTATTCTGGGAGTCTGTCAGCGCGCAAGAACAGAGTAGCAGATATGTTTGGTTTTTTTTAATTACTGAACATATTTGAACTGTCTCAAATGAGCTCTGCCTTGGTCCTGGCCATTCCAGGTGCAGAAACTAATTCCTGTCGACTTCAGAGAGCATTCCAAACACCCCACTTAGGCATTCTAAGGACCAGGACTGAAACTCTTGCATCAGTACTGTGGAGAGCAATTGATCATTTAATTCTTGTCAAACCTGGTGTCAGGTGTTTCAGTGAACTTCTTTTAGCAATTCTGTTGTAGAGCAAAAGCTAACTAAATACTGAACTTCACTTTTTTTGCTGTTTGACCTAACAAAATTGCCTGCCTCTCGCTTCCATCTCTAACCCCAGGGCTTAATGTACCAAGATGCATCAAGATGGGGGATAACATTACAGACTTACATACAGCTTACGATGTTGGAGCAGCATACCAAACCAATGGTAAATAAACTTATTTTTATTTAAAAAAGCAATTAGGTGTGATTATGAGTAATAAATATTTTTAACCTTGTATCCAAAAGTCAACATGCTGTTTGTGTTCTTTCCTTATTCCTGCAGACAGTATGAATTTTTATAGTGCAAAGACATTGTTGATACACTCAACTTGTGCTCCAGGGGTGAAACATCTGCCTCCTGCCTGCTTAGAGCTTTTACTTGCCCAAACAAATACTGCTTTTTTAGTACCAGCCCTACGAGCTAGACTTGCACAGATGCCTTCCGTCATTACGCATCAGTGACTTGTCTGTAATTGGCATCTATGTAAATTGAGCTCAGATCTTTGGGAAACATTAGGTAATCTTAAAGATAGTGGTGGTATTCATTCTGCTGCTCTCTGCTGTCTACCACAAATTTAGTCATAGTGCCTTGTGTTTAGCCAAAACACTTCCATTAAATTTTATACTTTTTTTTTTCCCCCCAAACAGTTTCCATCTTTTTTTTTTCTTGTATTTTTTTTTTTTTAGTTACTCTGTATCTATTTTCACATGCTACCTTTTTTATCAAGATCATTTCATTTCTCTTTCCTTCAAACATCTTTTGTTACATTCTGTGCTAAATCTTCCATTCCCTGATTACAAGATCTGATTTTAGGTGGCATGCTTATATCTCGGTGATTGTTCTTGCATTATTTTTCTGAGTTTATGTCAGGGCAAACTTTCAAAAGTACCACATGATAGTGATACTGCATGTATAATCATTAACTTTTTGGAAGAGGTGTTTTTCCAAGACAGATGTCATTCTGTTAGAGAAGAAGTTCATTCAGATATTCCTGAGGATTGCCCTGTGTTTCAATCTGAGCTTTGCTGTCCTTTGTCACTTGAACTTTGCTGGAGTAGTGTTGCTTCCATGATCATTAACGTGCAGAATACCTGATTGGAAGGAGCTGTGCCAGGGTTACCTTGCTCTGCAGGGGCTAGAGAGTGTCAGAGAAATCTCTCTTCTCCATATGAATCACTGTTTGAACGCATGCAAGACTGACTAAGGCCAGTGCTTTGTCAGATGCAATTACTTCCATAGAAAGTTCTGTTTCTTGGTACAGTTATCCTGATGTTAGGGCTGTGCTGTTGACACAGGAGCACTCTTGAAGGTGGCAGTGATTCAGGTAGCAGTCATTCCTGATGCTCTGCAAATTCTAAATGGATTGCTGCTTTTTTATGTACTCCTAGTTAACCTCAGCTGAAACTTACCTTTGAAACTCGCATGTGAGTAACAGATTAGTTTTGTAGGTGGTTAATAATGCAGTGACCCTAAGTAAGACTAAGAAAACCTGAATAATTTCATAATGTAAAGGACATGATGTGCAGTATAAGTCTGAAAAGAAACAAACATGCTGAAAAATGCAGATTGTCAAGTTTTATTTCCTAGATATCCCCCATAAGAATGATGGAGCGATCAATTCACAGCGCAAGATATATTTTTGTAGAAAATTTATATCGAAGGTACAGTATATAGTCTTATACTTTACTTTCTTGAATTAATTAAATATATGTATAATCGACTGATGATGTCTTTGGTAATCTAAGTGGAGTGTGAGATCTGTCAGTTCTGTGTTGGAGTGGCAGTGTGTTCTGTACAGCATGTGCTACCCACTGGTAGAATAAATGGGCCAGGCGAGAGCCTTTTTCAGAAGAGCTCCTGTGTACAGAGAACATCTTGCTATTCAGAACACCATTTCTTGAAACTATCTGTTCTCCAGCTGAACACAAAAATCTTGCTTAAATCAGAGACACATAATGAATAGGAAAAAAACATGAGAATACATAGAACAGCACTGTAGGAGGAGATAACTACACAGCGTTATCCAACCTAGCATCCAGGACTGGGATTTCTTGCAAGCAGGAACTTGAGTGACAAGCAGGAAATTGAGTCCCATGCTGTTGCTCAGAATCAGGATTCTTAGGCTCAAAATAAACTGCAAACCTCATAGGCCAGTGAGTAAAGAAAGCACAAGAATTGTTTGTCTCTAAATGTTGCCTCCTGAATTGGGTCCTTGCCTCCAGGTGTGCTTGGGCCAGAGCAGAGCAATCAGGCCTAACTGTGAGAGAAGACTGTGGCCTGAAATAGATAAAGCATTTATTACCTGTCTGATGTATAAATCGCCCATCCCATACTAACTAAAATAGTGCAGTAATCAGTAGTGCTAGCTTGTTTTTTTTTTTGGTTTTTTTTTTTTGTTTTTTTTGTTTAGAATGCTGAGCTTCTTTTGAGAAGTGCATATAACAGACTTGTTTTAATGGATTTTTCAGGGGTTTTCAGGGACAAAACCAGTTTCTTGCCCCCCAGGGAGAATGGCTGCGTGCCACAAGGTGGCATCCATGCTACATAAGCTGCTAGTGTGTTACTGGAACTGCTTTGAAAGTTCAGAGAAACACTGTGAGATGCGAGGCAAACTTTAGAGACAACATTTATCCCAGTCTTTATGCAGTGGAAGTGTACAGGAATCTCATTCTCATTTTTAATTACCGATTCTTAATACATCCTCTATAGACTCCCTTTTACCTAAGTTGGGTGTTTTATTATTCTTACCGAGATAACTCTGTGACAGTTGTCTTCAATATTGTCTATGCTATGTGAATACTGAGTTCACATTAAGCATGTTGAATATTTCACTACTCTTTCCACAAGTATTTTTTACAGTTGGAGTAAATTTTATTTACCTGATGTCATTATTTTTTACTGCTCTTTACTGTGGCTCCTGCAATGAACTGTCAGTGCTGCTCTGTAAATCAAGCCTTTCTGGTTTTGTGACACGCACTCCAGTAGCTCAGATCTGTTTGAAATGATCCTCATGTAAAGAACTCGAGCAGTAAATACCATTGACACTAATTTGTTGTTATTGTATAAATGTCAGTGTGGTTGATGTTTTTCTTCTCAGTCACCAGATAATAATTTCTTAACTGTTAATGAAAATAATGTTTGTAACTGTTAATAATAGAAACATTGTGTTAGTGAGGTTTTTTTGTTTCGTGCTTTTTGTTTGTTTTTGTTTAAGCAAGAAGATTTGGTCTTTTTATTGTATAAACTATGATTTATGAAGCTTTCAGTTTGGGCAGGCGTAATATTGCTCATGTTTTCATTTCACATATGGTGGAGTGAATTCGGAGTAATTCTAATCAGGTGAAAAAAAAAAAAAGTTTAGGTTTGATCTGTGCATGCTATTCAGTGAGTGGTGGCTTTTATGTTTTTTCAGCGGAAAAATGCCAGAGGTGGATTATGTTGTCCTAAGTGAATGGTTTGACTGGATCCAGAACAACACTGATGTTTCGGTTGATTTGATAGGTAAAATTCTGATGAGATCTGGAGGAGCATGTTTGTGGATGGGTTTCCTTCCTGGGAGAAAAAATAAATCTTGTTTTTTGGTTCATAAATAATCACATTATTCAATATAATGGTGCTTGCAGTGTGTAGCATCACGACAGCATGAATTAGTGGATGGTTCATAGATTGATTAACAGTAATGCCAAAGGGGAGATTCAGTGGTGGTACCCAAGTCAGGATTCTTCCCTTCTGTATTTTGTGAAGTAAGTCTCTTTCTTTTAAAGCTGATGACGTGAACATAACTATATTTTTTGTCATGACAGTTTATTTGCAGACTTCTCCTGAAGTTTGTTATGAGAGGTTAAAGAGAAGATGCAGAGAAGAGGAAAAGCTCATTCCTCTGGTAAGGAGTTCCTTCAATATATGTGGTTACAATGAGCATTAGAACCATAATTATTCCAATCTAAATACTAAAATCATATCCTGAGTGTATTGCCAAAATGTGGTGCAGCTGTTTCCACTGCAAACTAAAACTTCGGTATTTAACTCTATTAAAAAAAGAAATCATGCAAACTGACTTTCCCAGGTTTTATGTTTTAGTAATGTGTACCATAGCTGACTGTTTAGGTGCAGTATTAATCAACTGTTAATCTTCTCTAAGATGTAAAAAAGCAGTTGCTTTAGTGTCATTAAATGGCATAAAAGCACCCAGCTGAAGCACAGATACCTGTGCATGGAGATACTGAAGATCTGTGTGGGCAGTTTCTGTTGTCTGCTGTTACCAGGATGTTTATGGATGAAAAGAGTCTCTGCTTGTGTCTTTAAAGAAGAAATTTCTTGAAAATTGTTAGTGTGGGAATCTTCTTTAAAATAAACTGGTAACTGAATGATCACTTTTGGTGTCACAGTTTACAGAATGTCCCTTCATTAAACAAGAAGCCTAACCAGAAATAAATGTAGTTATCTTTGCAGTCCACAGTATGTCGTCTGTATCTCCAGTGTCAGGTAGTTCAGTAGAAGCAATTGTCAGCTGAAGATACATGCAAAGAGCTAAATTTTGGGCCATGTGAAATTTTGCATTGGAGGATAATCCTTGCTGTAATGGATTTGAAGAGACATTGTGTTACTTTGCAGCTCTACTGAGGAGTGTGGGGGAAAAATTACTAATAAAAATGTTAATTGGTCTCCTTTAAAAAAACCCAGACTAATAGTTGATGAAAGGCAGAAGTGGTTTTAGAGGAAATTAGAGTCAGTTAGGAAGAAGTGATTGGGGATTTTAAGGAAATAACATTGATACAGAAAGTGCCTTCAGTACACATTCTTTGCAGTCTTGCCCTTTTTGTCCTTCTCTTTGTTGTACATTTCTCTGTAAAATCTTGACCCACACTATACCTCTTGGAGAGAAATGTTTCTTGATCTTAAAAGGAGTTGAGAGCTCTGTACTCCTGTAAGCTGTCTCTTTGAGGTTCTTCATGGTGTGAAACCTTACACTGGAAGTTAATTTTTCTCAGAAACCTTATGATGCTTTTTATTTTCGCTAGTGGAAATATCTGATACAGGCTTTTATATATTGTTCTTAACTACTTACCAAATGCATAAAAATTGCAATGTGTGTTTCTTCCCTGGGCTTATGTGTTATTTGAATGCCTCCTTTTTAGGAGTATTTCGAAGCTATTCATCAGCTCTATGAAGAGTGGCTCATTAAACATACACTATTTGAAGTTTCCTGCCCAGTGCTTGTGAGTATTATTTAAGTTATAAACAGTTATGCATATGGAAGATTGTACTCTTCAAATATCAAGTGTTACTTAGTGGCAAAAGTAACTAAATCTGCTTTACTAATAACCTTTGGAGAATGAAAACCTCAGAAAAAATGTTTATAGCTATCAATAATGTATAGCATGGAAGTCTGGTCTTCAATCTCTTTGGAATTTAAGGGTCTGTTCACTGTGATTATTTGCAGGATCAGTGTAGCTTTTTAATGAATGCCCAATTCTGAGCAGAATGCTAACCAGACAGATTTCTAGGAGTATATCTCTTTGGCATCAGTTGTAGTCCTGTTCTGTTTTGCTCAAAACTAATCATGTTTTATGGTGTCAAATATTTCTAATGCTTATGTTCTTTTCAAGGTTATTGGAGCTGATCATGACATGCAGAAAATGATAGAGAAGTATGAAGAAAACAGGGACCAGATACTAAACCCATCTAATATGCAACACCATTTATAGAAGTCTGCAGTTGCTGTATTTTATAAAACATGTTTATGAAGTCTGCTTTAAGGGCAATTTTGAATATTATAAATATTTCTAAATATAATGGGGCTTGCTTTTGAATTACACTTTGTGGACTGTTCAGTGGGCTTAGTGCTATGAAATGTTCAGATACAAGTCATAAACAGAATGAAAGTTAATTCCCTTTCATGTTTTTAGGTTCTCCATCAGCTTTACTGTGTCAATTTTACTCAGCTAAAATGTCAGTCTTCTCTCATTTCCCACTTCATTGCTGCTTCCTATAAGTAACCAAATTTTCTTCCTTTTTGATCCCCAAAGACAACCCTATTTTTATAATTTGAAAGAAATAGTTCCACACAGGAAGTGGGATGTCCTTTTTTATTATTAGTGGAAGCAAATGAAGTTTCAAGTTAAAGCATCAAGTTAAAGTAGCTTTGTTAAATAGGTCTTTTCAGGTTGAAATAGGGGGTCTTACTCTAATCCTACCTATGCTAGTGCAGTTCCATTGAATTCTGTAAATTTCTTCCACTTTGCATGAAATCGCAACATAGCTGTTCTGAAGATAACAATGCAGTAGTATAGTCCCACTGAATTCAGTGGCAAAAAAAGCTTAACAGTTTTCAGAAGTGATTGCAGAGTGGCTCTGAGGCTTTTTTTTTTAAAAAAGGCTAATTTCTCTCTGGTGCTCATGAAATCACTGGCCCTGCTATGGCTTAGTTAAGACTAGCTAAAATACAGGGTGCACAGAAGTGTATTTGTTGTTCTTTTCAAATGGTTATAAAAATCCTAGAGTTAATTGATCTCTTAACTATTTTGTATTCTTCAGTTCTTTTTTTTTTTTTCACAAAGAAAAATACAGATGGCTGTCTGGGTTGATATATCTTGATCAGTTTATTGTGACTTACAGGTACTTGGACAGCAGAGAAAAACAGTGGGGATTTCATTGTTAGCTGAAGTGTTGAGTTGCCCTTAATTTCTGTTTGACCTCAGTGTTGTTTTCAAGATAATCCTTTTAATGCAGTAGTTCTATTTTCATGTTACTTTTTCCGTTTGAGGGGAACGATTCCTGAAGTACAGTGTGTGTATATACAGATTTATTTTTTTTTCTGTAATAGTTTTGGTTGGTTTAATTGTAGCAAGCATGGCTAGCAGTGCTTAAAAACACTTACACAGTTGAGCATTTGTCATGCCTTTGTAGTGAATGCTTCTGAAAATGGCTAACATCCAGGACTTAAGTGATCAAAAGGCTGACTGCAGACATTTGTCTGTAACTTGTTGGAGAATACAAATTTTCAGTTATATGGCTTTTCCCTGTTCCACATGATTTTGAACAATATCTGATGGTGTCACTTTCAGAAATCACTTCACTGCTTTCACTTTAGTTTTGTGAGGGCTGTTTCTGTGGTATGCCTAAAAAGCATCGTATTGAAGTGATTGCTTTCCAAGTCAGGAAATGCAGTTCTTGTCTTGTTATTGCCACATTTCCATTTCCCCCTCTCCTCCCCCTCCCCTGCCAAATCTGTACAACTTAATGACTACTGCACTGAGAGAGCATTTCCTAGTGAAGTACTAAATTAGTATACTAAAGCTTGTGAACCAAGTGCTGCCATTCTGTTGTTCTGTTGTAAATATTAAGAATTCTAGCTTAAACATAAGATTGTGTGTTAAGCAATTATCTTATTGAAGCTTATTTGTTAGGGGATTGTAATCATTCTTTAAATGATTAAACGTTCATCATTTTTTCTTCTGTAAGTGACCAAAAGAACTATTTCTTTGGAAATAGTTTTATAAGAAGTTCAGTCACCTGCAGTTTGTTCTTGATTGTAATTTCATTATGGGTTGTATTAGCCTAGGATGTGTATTTTGCAAGCAGTTCAATTGTTTTGTACAGATTATCTTATAGTACAAAGAATGTCACTGTTTATGAGTTTTGGTTAGATCCCCCATTCCCTTTTCTATATCAAACCAATAGTGTGGATGGAGGTTACTGATATTCACAGCTATAATGGAATATAGATGGATCATTTATGTAACTTATTAAAAAAAACAGATGCGATGGCTACAGATAGCATGTTTACTTTGTTTTGCTGTCTAGTATTTTTGTGTATAGATTTTCATATTCAGGAAGGTTGGGGTTATTTAATGAAAACTGGGAACAAAAAACAAACAGGTTTCCTGTTACGTCATAAATTTAAAATGTTTGCTGTCTGCTATAGATGTATAGATAAAAATACTTCAGTAATCATAAGTAACTGTTCTAAAGCCTGGAATCTGGAATTTATTTGCTTTTCTGCCTTGAAATCTCTCGATCGATGACAAAAGGGAAAAAAGGGTTATCAGCATTAGCCTGATACGTATTTTGTTTCTTTTGTAACTAAGAAGCAGTGATGAGGTAGCATGTTGCAAAAGTACTCCTTTCTGTAGGCAGACTGACCTTCATTACCAGTGGAATGGATCACAGAATATAACAACCTGATACTGCTCTTGGCTTTTAAAATTTACTCTGTAGTTTGGATATAGCCTGTGCTTGTGAACTGAGCCACACATAGCTGCTTTTTTGGCTATTCCAGGGTATACTGTCAGAATACTTGAGTAAAAATTATGGGTTTTAATTACTTTTGTCACAGTAAGTTCCACATCTAAGTGTGAAAAGTGGTTCTCTCCTCCTGTATTGCCTTTTCTTTATTACATACTTTAGTCTGAAGAGATGCTGTTTTCTCCAGACTTTGTCCCGGTCAGGGTGTCTTAGCAGACGAGTAACATCTGGGAGCAGTATATAAGCTGATTTCAAGTAAGACAGACTGGCAGAAATAATAGTATTTAACATTTGCACTGTCTTAGCATGGCCTTTTGTGTCCTTTCTTCCAGCACAAGAAGCAGGCTCAGGAGATCTTCGTTGTTTGATTAAACTTTTCAGAACTGACTGTTCAAAACCATAGGCTGTGAGAAACCTCAAAAATTGCCTTCACCAGTGTAATTACCACACAGACCACCAACGCAAGGGAACAATCCAGCATCTCTCTTCATTGCACCTCCTCCTGCACAGTATAAGAAGTGTCGGGTATTCTGATGTCAGTTGTTTTCAAGATTCAGACCTAAGCTCTTGTTACTCTCCTGAATAATGGCTGTCCTAGCAAGTTACTGTCCCAGTCCTTCCTGTAATGTGTGGAAGTTTAAGTAAACATTGTGCATTTCTGAAGCAGTAAGAAGTTGGGTCAGAATTATGGTGGTGTTTTTTCCACCCCCAGCATTTGAGGGGGCTGAAAGTTACGTGCCTTTTTGAAAAGTTTAGTTTTAGAGCAAAACCTAGCAGTTACTACATTAGTTCCTACTAATTGAGTGGCATTACTAAAGAGAAATAGTCTTAAGTCTTTTTCCATCTTTTTTTTTCCTCTTCTGTCTTAACACTGAAATTTGGTTTTCATTCTTGGCTTAAAAAACAACAAAGTTTGTTCTAAAACCAGCTTTGCTCCTTAAGCACCCTAAGGACAAGTCCAGACAGGCGAAGGTCTATGTGTGATATGAATGTTAAGGGGAAGAAAAATGACTATTGCAAGAGATCCAGAAGGGAGAGGCTGTGAATGACTATAACCCACCTACCAGGTATGCTGCCTGAGCTCTGTATCTATGCTCATTGAAAGAGAATTATTCTAATCCAGTGCTTGGGAGATCTGAGCCATTCAGAGTAGTTATGTGTAGTGTACACATTTGGAACAGAATTGGCCTAGAGTCTCTGTGATGGAAAGACATCCAATCAGTCAGTAAATCCCCATTCAATTCAGACTATCAGGACCAGCTGCGGCACAACTGAAGCTGACAGCTCACCAGAGGATAGGTATTTTAGAAACACAAACCACCTTTCTTTAGGAAGGGCCCCAGGCAGCCCTCTTGCTGTCTAGCAGCACTGCCTAAGCAGTTGCCCTTACTTCACTTACTAGCCGAGGAGAGGTGCAGTGGTTACTACCAATAGGGGCAGGAGGGCACTGGCTAGTCAGAAATCTTATTTTACCTTACCAGAAATCTTAAGTTTACCCTTTTACCTGTCCCTCTTCTCAGGTCTGACTGTATTTACAACTAGGATTCATGTGGAAGCAGCTGCACAAAGGACTGCTGCCTATTAAATATGACTTATCTTTGTTTCAGCTGGTTTTCAAATCCCTTCACTCTTCAGCTTTAACTGTAAATCAGTTGCAAATGCAACATTAGTTTCTAGTACAAGACCTTAAAATTCTACCATTTGTACAAAAGAAGTTAAAGGTGTTCTAGCAGCAAGGAAGAAATTCTTTACTGTGAGGATAGTAAGGCACTGGTTGCCCCATCCCTGTGTTCAAGGTCAGGCTGGAGACGGCTTGAGTGTGTGAGGCATCCCTGCCCATGGCAGGGGCGTTGGAACTAGATGATCTTAAAGTCTGTTCCAACCCAAACCATTCTGTGATTCTGTGAATAACAAACTCACATAAAAATATCCAGAAGACTTAGCGCATAGTGGCTCTTCCTATGAAGGTAGACAATTAAAACACATAATAATCCCCACAGGAAGAAAATACAGTTTTATAAAACCAAAATAGAAAGGATAGGTTCTTGAAAGAAGAGCTAGGAGGCTGCTTGCTCCCCCCCAGCAGCAGGGGAGACTAGGAAGAGCAAAATCAAGAGAGCGTTTTGGTTGAGACAGAGGTTTAAGAACCAAAGGAAAGGGGTGGGGGGGAACCCAAGTGATGCAATGGCAGTAACTTACCACCTCCCACAAGCAGACTAGTGCCTTGCAAGTCTCTGAGCAATGGCCACCTTGGTAGACAAAACCCCCACCTTCTTCTGCCACTCCAGTTTTATTGCCAAGCATGATGTTACATGTTATGGTATAGCCCTTTGGCCAGTTCAGCTCAGCTGGGTCCCCTTCCCAGTTACTCATCACAGGGCATAGTTAGAAGAAGAGAAGGCTGTGACACTGCAAGAACTCCTCAGCAATAGCCAAAACACTGGTGTATTGTGTATTATCAACAGTTTAGCCACAAATTCTGAATGTACCACTCCAGGAGCTGCTGTGAAGAAAGCTATCTGAATCCTAGCCAGACCCAGCACAGAAATACTAATTTGTATGTTCGTGTTAATAATACCTGTTTCTCCCAACCCCACCCAAAGCTGAAGGCAGTCCTGTCACTTGATGTTACTTTGGTCAAAATTTTATTCCTCCTCCACTGCTGGAATCAAGTGGTGAGGGGACCTCAACAATTAGTTGTTCAAAAAACAGAGCTTTACTTTTTTGCTCTTGAGGCTTTTGTAGTGTAACCCGCGTGCTCCTCTTTGAATTTCTGGGGGATGAAAGTCAATTATAAACAATTTCAGCTAATTATACATGAAACAAAACGTTGAAGTGCTACTGGAAGTTACTTCAAGCAGTATTAAACTGTCTTCCTAGGACTCCAGCTTACAGCTGATCTAACACTCCTGTCTCCTTTCCTTTTCAGCACAATGCTTTTCACACAGCACTCCCACCTAAGAATAGCCCTTTTCCCAGCACTAATACTCACTGGGACCCTTCTCTGATTTAATTTTTTTCCTGCTACGAGAATGGCAGTTTTCCCCCTTCATTTAAGCAAAATGAACTGGCTCACAGAAAAGTCCAGTTACAGAGAAATAAAATCCAGAGCTGGTGCAGAACAAAGTGGCAGGAACAGGGGTGAAGAAAGTGACAGCAATAGCTGGATCTCCCTCTTCCAGTAGCAGTGAACAACTACGATGCTCAGTGCTTCTGACATTTGTGGTGGTAGCCACAAAAAATTTTGTAGAGTGGAGACGGGTATAAAGAACCTGCAAAACAGGTTACTGCCTCTAGAAAACTGGAAGGGTTCACAAGGCTGTTTCCTTTGTTAAACCTAAAGGAATGTTAAAGAACTTTATGAGCTTATTTTCAACTGAAAACAGGAATATAATCAGCTCAGAGCACAGCTTCACAGGAGTGTAATGAGTTAACAAAAGTGCACTCCAGTACAGCATTTGTAAAGCTATAAAGTGGGTCTTGCAACTTAGAAACACTTAGCTGTTCCTATTTCTATCATTGTACAGCATGCTATACTTGAAGAATACTTCAGAAATAGGTCTGTAATACTGTTTTCACAAAGCTAATTACCTCCTTGAAAACATGAAGGCCACAAGTGAGAGGAA